AAGAAAAAAACAGGAACAAGACAAAGAGGCCTACTTTCACCATTATAGTCAATATGGCTTTGGAAATTCTCATAAGAGTGACTATACAGGAAATGAAAGGCAACATTAAAACCAAAAATGAAATCATCTCTGTTCACAGAAGAGCTGAACCTATAGGTGGACGGTTGTAGAGATTCCACAAAAACCTGTGAGAACTAATAGACGAGTTAGGCAAAATAGCAAGATTGAAAAATTAATATTCCCGAGTATGGTGGTATACACCTGTGGTCTCAGGTAGCTTTGGGAAACTTAGGAGGTTGGATCACTTGAGCCCGGAGTTTGAGGCCAGCCTGAGAAACACAGCAAGATTCCATCTCAAATAAATAAATAAAAATAACATGAAAAGTCACTTATGTTTCTATACACAATGAATAATCTGAAAAGTAAATTACAAAAACAAGGTAATTAGCATCAAAAAGAATAACATACTTAGGAATTAACTAAGGAGGTTAAAACCACAAAATATTACTAAAAGAAATTAAGATGACAAATAAATGGGAAAATATCTCATGTTGATAGATTAGAAGACAATAATGTTAAGATGTCAGTATTACCCAAAGCACTCTTCATCTTGACTGAAATCTCTATAAAAATCTCAGTGGTATTTTTTGCAGAAATAGCAAAATCCATGCTAAATTCACATAAAATCTCAAGGAATCAAGAATAGCCAAGATGGGGGCTGGGGATATAGCTCAGTTGGTAGAGTGTTTGCCCTGCATGCACAAGGCCCTGGATTTGATCCCCAACACACACACACACACACACACACACACACACACACACACACAGAATAGCCAAGACAGTCTTGAAAAGAACAAAGATGGTTCCTGATTTCAAGACTTACTACAAAGTCGGAGTAATCAAACTAATGTGGTATTGGCACAAAGATAGACATAATAGACCAATGGAATAGAACAGAGGACCCAGAAATAAACTGCCCCCATGTATGATTCAATGAGGATGGAAGGATTACTCAGTGGGGACAGGACAGTGGTTTCATTAAATGGTACTGGGAAAACTGGATACCCATATGCACAACAATGAAGTTGATCCCATACTTTACACCACATACAAGGCTAACTCAGAATGGGCCAAGAGCTTAAACATCAGCACCAAAACTATTAGACTCTCAGAAGAGAACACAGAGAGACCTTCCTGAGACTGGATTTGGTAATGATTTCTTGTACATGATGCCCAAGGAACTAACCAAAAAGGAAAAACAGACAAATTGAATATGAAATGTTCAAATTCAAACATTTGTGAATCAAAGGACACTGTCAACAGAGTGAAAAAGTATCCACAAAATGGGAAAAGATATTTACAACTTGCCTACCTGATAAAGAGTTGCTATCCAGAATAGTATATAAAGAACTCTTTCAACTCAACACAAATGAGTGAAATATAAATAAAAAATGGGCAAAGACTGGGTATGTAGTAGAGAGTGTGCTTAGCATGCTCAAGGCCCAAAGAGGGCAAAAGACTTGAATAAGCAAGTTATGGTTTGGATACGAGGTGTCCCATAAAACTTCTGTGTGAATGCAGGAATATTCAGAGGTAAAATGACTGAGCTCTGAGCATTGTAACCTAATCAGTCCATCCCAGTTGAATGGACTGCCAGTGGTAACTGTAGGTAGGTGGGCATGGCTGGAGGAGGTGGATCACTGGGGGCATGTCCTGGAAGGATGCATCCTCTCTATGTCCCCTTCCCCTTGTTCTCTGCCTTGCTGCCTGGTTGCCAGGAGGTAAGCAGCCTTCCTCCACCATGATGTTCTGCCTCTCCTTGGCCCAGAACAATGGCCTCTGCTTACCACAGACTGAACTTCTGAAACCATGAGCCAAAATAAACTTTTCCTCCTCTAAATTATTATTATTTTTTAAAAAATATTTTTTAGTTTTTTTTTTCTGATGGACCTTTATTTTATTTATTTGTATATGGTGCTGAGGACCGAACCCAGTGCATCATACATGCTAGGCAAGTGCTCTACTACTGAGCCACAACCTCAGCTCCAATAATAATAATAATTATTATTATTAGTATTAGTATTAGTAGTATTATTATTATTATTTTGGTACTGGGGATTGAACCCCAGGGTGATTGACCACTGAGCCACATTCCCAGTCCCTTTTGCTTATTATTTTGAGTCAGGTCTGGCTAAGTTAGTTACTTAGGGTCTCTCTAAGTTGCTAAGGCTGGCCTTGAATTTGTCATCCTCCTGCTTCAGCCACCTAGGTGCTGGGAAGACAGGCATGTGCCTCCACGCCCAGCCTCTAAATTGTTCTTGTTTTATATTTTGGTCATAGCAACACATGGTATTTCTCCATAGGGGATATACAAATGGCAAATATGTATGTGAAATAATGAAAGGTGCCCACCATCATTAGTTGTTAGGAAAAAGCAAATTAAATCCAACAGGAGATAACATTACACATTCATTAGTGAAGCCATTATTAATAAAATCAACTACAACAAAGGCAAATAAGTGTTAAAGAGAATATGGAGACACTTGAGTAAGTACTTGTGCACTGCTGATGGGAATCTGAAACGGTGCAGCCACTGTGAAAAATGGATGGTGGCTTCTGGGGCAAAACAAACAAACAAAACAGATGAAGAATTGCCATATGATCAGCAATTCCATTTCTGGGTAGATACCCCAAAGAAACAAAAATGAGGTTTTAAAGAGACATTAGCACACCCTTGTTCATAGCTGCATTATACAAAATAACTAAAATGTAGAAGCAATGCAGGTGTCCATCAGTGGATGAATGGATTAGCAAAGTGTGGTATTGCCATATGTTAAATTATCATTCAGCCTTAGAAAGTAAGGAAATTCTGACACATGCTGCAACATGGGTGAGCCTTGCCAACTTCATGCTGAGCAAAGGAGTCGATCACAAAAGGACAGATACCACAGGACTCAGCTGACACGGGATGCCTACAGTGGTCAAGTTCATGGAGATGGAAAGTGGAATGGTGGTTTCCAGGGTCTAGTGGAAAGGGAGAATGGAGAGTTAGTACTTAATGGGTATGAAATTTGGGGTTGGAAAGATGAAAAACATCCTGGAAATGGATGGTGCTGATGGTCCAGTGCATGCTCTGAATGTGCTTAATTCCACCATACACTTAAAAATGATTGAAATAATAAAGTTTGTTATGTATATTTTTTTACATAAATCTAAATATTTCTTTAAACTGAAAATATTTATGAAATTTTTTATATATTTTTATTTGTTCTAATTAGTTATTCATGATAGTAGAATGCATTTTGTCATATTGTACACAAATGGAGCACAACTTCTCATTCTTCTGGCTGTACATGGTGCAAAATCACTCCAGTAGTGTAATCATACATGTATATAGGGTAATAATGGCTGAATCTTTCTTTTTTAAAAAAATATTTTTAGTTGTAGTTGGACACAATATGTTTATTTTATTTACTTCTATGCAGTGTTGAGGATCAAACCCAGGGCCTCACATGTGCCAGATGAATGCTTTACTGCTAAGCCACAACCCCAGCCCCTTTCTGTATCTTTCTACCTTCCCATCTCCACAACTCCACCTTTCCTTTCAACTCCTTCTTTCCCCTTTACACAAACCAAAGTTCCTTCATTCTTCCCTATCCTCCAGTTCCACTATGGATCAGCATCCACTTATCAGAGAAAACATTTGGCTTTGGTTTGGGGGAGTTGGCTTATTTCACTTAGCATGATATTTTCTGGTTCCATCCATTTACCTGCAAATGCCATAATTTCATTCTTATTTAAGGCTGAGTAATATACCATTGTGTATATGTACCACATTTAGTTTATCCACTCATCTATTGAAGGGCATCTAGGTTGGTTCCATAGTTCAGCTATTGTGAATTGAACTGCTAGAATATTATTTTTTAAAATTTTTATTTTAATTTTTTAGTTGTTGATAGACCTTTATTTATTTATTTATTTATTTATTTATATGTGGTGCTGAGAACCGAACACAGTGCCTCAAACATGATAGGCAAGTACACTACCACTGAGCCGCAGCTCCAGCCCCTAGAATATTTATTTTTAATAAAGGAGTTCTTTCATATTCCAGATAAAAAGTACTTATCAGATACATGTTTTGCAAAAAGTTCTCCTACTCTGGATTTCCACTTCTCATTCATTTTATTTTATGCTTCATAGTTTATATATGCATTCTATGTATCTTCTCTAGCATATATCAAATAATATATTTCAAAGGAAAGCAAAAAGAAACTTAAACAGCAAAACAACTGTAGAAGCTCTTAGGAAGAAAGACAATGAACCTAGATGGGAACCTGAGCCCAGTTGCATCATACTTTCATCATTAGCTCTGAACATTTGAAGACCCTGAAGCAAGGTCTTCAGTGTTCTGTGTAAAAGTGAACTTCAACTCAGAACTCCTCATCCAACTTATTTATCCATAAAATGAGGGGGCAGGATAGAAACATTTTCAGACCCACATACTGTGGAAGAACAGATAATGTCTAGCAAATACTTACTCCCTTCCCCTGACCTCCAAGGGAGGACGGTGCTTCCTTGCCCACTGGCACTGGGCTTAGCCATGTGACTTGCATTGGCTAATAAAATGTAAGCAAATGTGACACCTAGCAGAGGCTTGAGCTAAGCCTGATGGGGACTTGGGCTGACTCTCACCAGAAGAGGTATCTATCGGGGCTGGGGATGTGGACAGTGGTGTGGGTCCTTGGTAGAGCACTTCCCCAGTATGCCTGAGTCCAGGGAAGGCAAAGCAGGGGCAGAGAGGAGAGGAGAGGAGAGGTGAGGAGAAGGGGAGTGGAGGGGAGGGGAGAGAAGAGGGTGGGAGGGGAGAGGAGAGACATTCCTCAGGTAGTCGCTGGTTCAAGGTGAATAAGGGACCAATGGAGCAGGGCTTGTGTCCCTCAAGCTGAGAGTCAAGTCCAGCCCAAATCAGATGCGTCATCCGAACCTCCCCCAAACTGCAGATGTGTGAGGGAAAACTAAACGGTTGTTTCACCACTGAGTTTTGTGATGGTTTGTCATACAGCAAAACCAAAGAAATGCAGACTCAGAATTTTAGCTCCCACAGACCCTTTCTTTGAAAGTTACTTGGGGATTTGAAATGACAAAAAGAGGGACACAGGGCATGTAGACAACCGAAGACTCAATTGTCAAGAGAAGATCCAGATGATGGTGGCCTGGGGTTTCACCTGGAGCAGCGAGAAGATGGTGTGAGAGGGAGGCATCCAGAAAAGCGGACCAGGCAGGCTTCAGTGTAACCTTCAGATTTTGGAAGTGCTGAGAGGTGTAATAAAGGAAGAAAATGCAACAGACAAAGAAAAGTAATTTGAAACTCTAAGGGGGAAAAAATAAAAACTGAATAAAGAAAAATGTGGTGCTGCCCAAATTGACTCTACGGTGATAAGAATTTTATAATCTTTATAAAGAAAAGTATTGATGGAGCTTCATCTTTAGAATCAGGCTATAGATAAAGGACTGAAAGCTTTCTTCTAATTGCAGATGATTAGAAACACTGCCAACCTTGACCAGGTAAAAGCTGGGAGGCAGAGCCAGAAGGCAAGGTGAGAGGAGTGAAGGTTTTCACCTTCCCTTTGGGCAGAGACTTCTGGGATAGAAGGACAAATGATACAATTGTAAGTACTATTTTTACACCTACAAAAGTGACCAACAGAGGTTCTGAAAATAGTAACTGGGAGTGAGAAGGGATGTAGAAGGATGGGGTGGTGAGTCAGCTTCTCAGGTCATGGACAGGCAACAGTCGTGCAATGCATAAGGACCTGTAGGTCAATGACATACCACATGTATGACAGTGCTGAAAAATTCCTATCTCCTTGTGACATCACAAGAAATGAATTTCTCAGGTGTTTGTGATGCTGGTATAAACAAACCTGTGCTGCAGTCATATAAAAGTACAGCTCTTACAATTACATAGAGTGTATAATAGTTGGCCATGATGATAAATTACATGTATTTTTTATACTACTTTTTTTTTGGTACTGGGGATTGAACCCAGGGACACATTATCACTTAGCTATCTCCACAATCCTTTTTATTTTTATTTTATGTTTTTATTTAGAAATAGGGTCTCACTAAGTTGTTGAGGCTGGCTCAAACTTGTGATCCTCTTGTCTCAGCCTCCCAATCACTAGAGCACTTGGGATTACAGGTGTGCACTGCTGTGCCTAGCTTAAACTATACTTTAATCAGTATTTTAGATGCTACCCCTACTATTTAAAAAAATGCTGAAGAACATTTCACTGTAAAAGAATATGCTATCTGCTGGCGCAGTGTCACACGCCTTTAATACCAGTGGCTCATGAGGCTGAGGCAGGAGGATTGCAAGTTCAAAGCCAGCCTCAGGCATTAAGCAACTCAGTGAGACCCTGTCTCTAAGTAAAATACAAAATTGGGCTGGGGATGTAGCTCAGTGTTTCAGTGCCCCGAGTTCAGACCCTGGTACCCCACCTCCAAAAAAAAAAAGAATATGCTATTTTAGGAAAAGTAACACACACCTGTAATCCCAGTGACTTATGGGTAAGTCAGGAGTATTGAGTTTAAGGCCAGACTCAGCAACTCAGGGAGGCCATTAACAACTTAGCAGAAACCTGTCTGAAAACAAAAATAAAAATAAAAAGTGCTGGGGATGTGGCTCAGTGGTAGAGCACACCTGAGTTCAGTCTGTGGTACCAAAATCATCATCATCATCATCTTCATAATATCATCATCACCTAAGTCTTCCAGGGCCTGGGCCTCATGTATTTAGTGCTCAGAGCATTTTAGATGGCATAGTTTTCTCCTGTGTTTGATTTTGTGGGTTTTGTTCATCATAGCCCTAGGAACAACAGAAGGTACACAGACACCATGTAGCCAAGACGTGTAGGCCAACTACACTTAGGTTTCTGTAATTCTACTCTATGAAGTTTGCACAAGGATGAAACCCTCTGAGGACACATTTCTCAGAAGGGGGCTCATCACGAAGCACAGCGGGATTGTGGTCAGATGCCACTCACCAGCAAACCTCCAACAGAAAGATGAGTTTCTACAGGGAGCTCTAAGGTGGGGGCAGGGCTCGGTTGTTTTTCAATACAAGTTTGGGGCTCTATTTGGGTTTTTAAATGCGTCTCCACATGATTTACACAAAAGAAAAGGAAAAGAAAAATATCCAGGCTATTTGATTTAAAAGCTTGTGCCTTTAACCTCTGTGCCTAAAGACAGATGGAGACACACACACACACACACACACACACACACACATACACACACACACACACACACACACACAAGAACAAAGAAACAGGAGGTGGCGAGAAGGCGCAGCAGTGGACTCCTCTAGAGGCCGGGAGCCTGGGGCAGGGGGCGGAGGGCGGAGGGGACGCAGCTGGTGGACCCGCGCTGGCAGCGCTCCCTGCGGACTTCTGGGTGGTTCAGGCCCCTCCAGAGCCCTGGGCAGGGAGGCCCGGAGCAGCCCACAGCCCTGCCAGCCCTGGAGACCTGGGCAGCCCGCCCCTCGGTACGGCAGTGGTGCCACCAGGCCCACCGGCCCCAAGGATGCGGCTGCACCAGCCCCACGCGGAGCTTCGCCTGCCCTCCAGCCTGGGCCTCCGTCCAGGGACCGACCGTCTCTGGACCTTCAAGGGTCTCTCTTGGTGCTGTTTTAGCATCTTTCTGTGAGAAAGCCTTGGTCGCTGTAGCTGATGGGGAGGAAAAGGGCGCGGGGTGGGGAGGACCCGTATGCTCCGGAGAGCCAGGGGCAAGACTGGCATCTCAAGAGACAACAGGTGTGTGTATGCCAAGGTGCCCACTTGTTTAGTTTTCTAAAAAAAGCTTGAGCTGCCTCCATCCACAGACACTTATATCTCTGGGAGACCCCCCAAAAAGGCCCAGGGCAGCTCCTCTCTACACCTGAGCATACAGCCGGCTCAGCTCTTGGTAGGCGCCTCTGCACAGGGAGGGCTGCTGCTCCTCTGCTATCCTCCTGCAGTGCTCTCCCATGGGGACCCACCCAGCCCCTGGGGGTAGGGGAGAGAGAGAGAGAGAGAGAGAGAGAGAGAGATTCAGAAAGAGAGATAAAGAGAAAGAGACAGAGCTACAGAAAGAGACAGAGACAGAGACACAGAGAAACAGAGACAGAGACAGAGAGAAAGACAGAGAGAGAGACAGAGACAGAAAGAGAGACACAGAGATACAGAGAGAGAGAGAGAGAGAGAGAGCGAGAGCACATGCCAGCCCACCCCATACATACTGGAAGCCTGGAAGTGGCAGTGAGGAGCCCAGTGACGTCAAGAGGTCTCTGTGGCCCTGATTTGTCTGTCTGGCTTGAGTTTGGACCATCTTGACTAGTCCACTTGGAGCAGTACTGAAGGCCCTTGGTCCTTCTCTGAGCTTTCCTCACATATTAACTACTGACAACACCCCAAGGCCCTGACTGTCCCCTCTTACAGGTTAGATGGTGAGACACAGAGGGGTGCTAGGACTTGCTGCAGAGCTGGAATCTGGGGGTGCCACCGAGGGCTCCCTCCCTGGCTCTACCCTATTGGGCTCTCAGCTCTGGGGCTGAGCCCACCTCCCCCAGGAGTTGACCAGGAAGGGTCTCAGGTCTATCATAGGTAAATATACAGGCATCTTGCCATCTTCCCGCACATCTTCCTGCCTGAGGTCCCTCCTCCAGAGCTGCTGCTCTCCACAGTGTGGGAGCTACACCTGGTTCTCAAGGGGGAATCACCTTCATAATAGTGTCAAGGTGTCTGCCTTGTTTTCTTTTCTCTCATGTGCAGAGTATGAAAAGCTCGTTGAGGGCTGTGGATATAGCTCAGGGGTTCCATTGCCAGTACCACTAATAGAAAAACAAATAAAGGAAAGGAAAGGAAAAAAGAAGACATTTCTGTTGATTTGGTAAACGGCACATGCCTGTAATTCTAGCTTGGGAGGCTGAGGCAAGAGGATTTAAAATTCATGGATTGCCAAGACTGGGCAATTTTAGAGAGACTTGTCTTAAAATCAATCAACTAAAGAATATCTAGGTGCTAATCAGTGCATTTCTAGAGAGGTAAAATATTGTGCCTTTTACTGCTCCATCATGTCCTGCTTTAAAGTCTAACCACTTCAAAAACCAAGTAAAATACATGTAGCCTCCTCACTAGAAAAATTAAGAAAGGGGAGTGTGGTGGCGCATGCCTGTAATCCCAGCAGCTCATGAAGCTGGAACAGGAGGATCATGAATTCAAAACCAGCCTCAGCAATAGCGAGGTACTAAGGAACTCAGTGAGACCTTGTCTCTAAATAAAATACAAAATAGGGCTGGGGATGTGGCTTGAGTGCCTCTACATTCGATTCCTGGTACAAGAATAAATAAATAAATAAGAAAAGGGCTAGGATAATACAAGATCAACACCCATAAATCAATAGATTTCCTATATTCCAAAACTGATTCAGTCGAGGAAGAAATCAGGAAAACCATTCCATTCACAAAAACCTTAAAAATAAAATACTTGGGTATTCATTTAACCAAGGAGGTAAAAGAGCTCTACAATTAAAATTAAAGAATATTGAAGAAAGAAATTGAAGAAGACCTTAGAAGATGGAAAGATATCCCATGTTCTTGGGTAGATAGAATTAATATTGTCAAAATGTATACCAGAAACAGTATACAGATTCAGTGCAATGCCTATCAAAATACCAATGATATTCTTCACAGAATTAGAAAAAAAAACCAATTTTTAAATTTATTTGGAAGATTAAGAGACCCAGAATATCCAAAGCAATACTAAGCAAGGAAAGAGAACCAGGAGGTTGTCACAATACCTGCTCTGAAATTATACTACACAGCTGTAGTAACAAAAACAGCATGGTCCAGACACTAAGACAGACATGAAGACCAACGGAATAGGACAGAAAACACAGAGACAGACCCATAAACCTGTAGTTGTCTGATATTTGAGAAAGATGCCAAAAAATATCTGGGAGAAAAGAGAGCCTTTTTAACAAATGGTACTGGAAAAACTGGATAGATAAATACAGAAAAATAAATTAGCCCCCTATCTCACCCTGCACAAAAGTCAAATGGAAATGGATCAAAGGCTGGGCTGAGGCTGTGGCTCAGTGGTAGAGCGCTTGCCTAGCACATGCGAGGTGCTGGGTTAGATCCTCAGCACCACATAAAAATAAAAACAAGTAAAAATAAAGGAACTGTGTCCAACTACAATTAAAAAAATTTTAAAAATCATGTAACTCATCATATTAAAAAAAGTGGATCAAAGACTTAGGAATTGGTCTAGAAACCTTTCAACTGCTGTAAGAAAACATAGGATCAGCCCTCCATCACAAAGATGCTGGCACAGCCTGTCTTAACAAGAGCCCCAAAGCACAAGAAATGAAGCAAACCATCAAAAAGTGGGATGCTATTAAACTAAAAAGCTTCTGCACAGATAATAAAATGATTAAGAATGTGAAAAGAGCCTACAAAATAGGAGAAAACCTTGGCCAGCTACTCTTTCAATAAGGGAGTAATATCCAGAGTATACAAATAACTCAAAAAGCTTAGCCCCAAGAAACAAATAACCCAATCAATAAATGGTTGAAAGATCTAAAGAAAAATTTCTCAGTAGAGGAATCACAAAAGGCCAACAAATATATGAAAAAAAATGATCAACATCTCTAGCAATCAGGGAAATGCAAATTAAAACTGCATTAAGGGGCTGGGGTTGTAGCTCAGTGGTAGAGCCTAGCATGTGTGAGGCACTGAATATGAACAAATAAAATAAAGGTCTATTGACAACCAAAGTATATTTTAAAAAACTACGTTAAGATTTCATTTCACTCTAGTCAGAATGGCAATGATCAAGAATACAAACAATAAATGCCGGCAAGGTTGTGGGGAGAAAGGAACACTTACACACTGTTGGTGGGACTGCAGACTAGTACAACCACTCTAGAAAGCAGTGTGGAAATTCCTTAAAAAACTAGGACTGGAATCACCATATGACCTAGCTATCCCACTCCTGGTATTTTCCCAAAAGATCTAAAATCAGCACACTACAATGACATAGTCTCATCACTGTTTATAGCAGCACAATTCACAATACCTAAATTATGGAATTGACCCAGATACTCATTAATAGAGAAATGGATTAAGAAATTGGGTGATATATGTACTCTGGAGTTCTATTTAGCCATTAAAAAGAATGGATTTGTGGCATTTTCCGGTAAATGAATGGAAATGGAGAATGTGCTAAGTGAAATTAGCCAAACTCAGCAACTCAAAGGTCAAATGTTTTCTCTCATATGGGGAAGCTAGAGAAAAATAAAGGAAACAGGGAGGGTGGGATAAGGAATCAATCAAATACAAATTATTAGATAAGAAAAAGGAGGTCTAATCAAGTAGAGGAAGGAGAAGGAGAGGGGAGAAGGAGGGTGGGAGGGAAAAAGGGGATCATAAACTGAAATAGATTTCCATGTGTGTTTGAGTTTGTTGGGATGAACCCAACTACTGTGTACAATCATAAAGATCTAATAAAAAAATCATAACAAAAAAGACATACAGATTCATGTTTGTATAAGTACATACGTTGGGATAATACTGGTAACTTTCTTCTTTATAGTTTTTACACTCA